GACGTGTCCATTCATTTTAAAGTTGACGATTATCTGAGAAATCTCAAGCAGAAAGCAACTACAATAAATGAGAATAACTGTAGGCTAGACGTCATAAATGAGCAATGGTGCATGCTATTTTGTTCTACGACATAAGTGTTGTTCGGTTACAATCATCTTTGTGGCTGCTTTAACTTGAACAGTGTTATATAACTGTCAGCATTAAGATCTATCTTACGATTTCTGATGTTAATATAAATTTAGTTGCCTTTATAATCAGCAAACATAGTTATTCTTCGATTTATTGCGCCCGTCTACGTATTTTACTCGTACAAAACTCTAAACCGACACTCGAGCTTAGGCTTACTTTCACAGTTGTAAGATAACAGACGAAATGTTTTGGGACATTGTCACAGAATCGTACAGCCATATGTGCTTATTAAACCTTAAGAGTTTGTTTCGTCCTCAGAAAATTTCTCTTGTATATCGCAAAGTTTCTGACTGAGTGAAATCCACCCTTTTTGACGTCAAAGTTTTTTCATTCTTCTATCAACTATCGTCTTCTCATTGTCGTCTGCAAAGGTAAAAATAATAGTATGCCTTTGTCCATCAAAGACCCCATCGTCTTTAAGAAATGAAGGGAAAGTGAGCAAATTCTGCGACATCCTATTACTGCAGAACAGCTCCACTTTGGAAGACCACCTTTTCGCAGTCTGTGGTGTGGTATTTCGACAGGAATCTTCTATATCTTTTATGTGTGCTATTTCATCCTTTTTTTTCAAAAAAACCTCATCGTCACAGGGCTATAATTTTTGCTTGTTTTGTGCTTTCGGTTTATTTTAGATTCCACTTTCAATTTCTTTCGCAACCGCCTAGCTTGTCACTTTGCAAATGAAAAGTAATGACTGTAGCTCCACCTAGTGATGGTCAACTGCCCATTATGCCTGCCCCCCGGTTAGCGCCCTGTTTGTCTAGGGCAGCCAGACCGATCGGCTGTCACCTACTTCTGTTTGAACAGACCCCCTATTTATCCTTATAGAGATTGGTACGCGGTGTAGTTCTGAGGAATTGTTACTGGATGTTTCTAATTTTTTAGCTAAGTCTGTGCAAAAGTCTGTGTTTCCGGTTGCGACACATAGACGGGGTAACTGTTGTCTAAATGAAGAAATGAGTTTGGCAGAAGTATCATCTGCCTCAGTCTTCTGTTAACTTTTGTCGGTCAGCCTTTGAATTTACAAACATTTTGGATAGATAGAAGCGAATATGCGAGTTCCAGGAAGCAGTTCAGAAGTAGATGTAATCGTTAGAACAGGACGTTTCGGTTTCTGTCGAGAATCCTTATTCATATGTAACCGTAGAATAGTGTGATATATGCCTATATTGGTGTGATACATGCACAGATTGCGCGGTATTTATAGTCCGTAGCGATCCCTACTAGTCCGTAATCACTCTTATTATATCGATGCTGTGTTTGTGGGTTGTGACATTGTTTCGACTTAGACATAATATGAAAGAAAGCAGCAGTTTTTTCACTCGCCTACGAGAATGTTTTTATCACTTTTAGTCATTGTCGCTTAGGTGTCTGTTGAACTATAGATAGGATCTTATTTATTTTCACAACCTTATTACAGTACATGAACATTTTACTGTTAAACCTCCTCGTATTCAATTTGGACTTTTACTACATCAATTCATACTTGGCCATATAATATTTTAAATTATTTGGTCTATGCACTTACTTCTACCATTTTTAGTGATACTTTCCTGGGTAGCGGTAAATGATAAGCTTTCGGAATCTATCTAAAGTGCAATATATGTCATGAATACCAAATGCAACAGCCTCTAGTTCTAAAGTTAATATTCTAGTTCTGTAATATACAAATCTGTACCGAAAGTCAGGATTTCTCCGCAACCATGATAATTTTACCTAAACGTATTGTAAAAACTAAACAAATTTGCGAAAAATTGCTTTGGCTGTACGCGTATGCGGCGGAAGAAATTAATAAAAGCTAATGGAATCGATATCCCCCAGATACTCGGTCTCATTTGGACAGCATGGCACCCAACTTTGCCAGTGTCGTTAATCTCTACCTAACCCAACCTGAATGAATCTGGAATGTATTTTCTGTGCTAACATCGTCCCGTCGAAGCAACGTCCTCATGAAGTATATTCTTTCTTCTATGGCATGATGTTAAAGCTAGGATTGGGCTTATCGTACTCATATGAATACACTGTTCGCCAACTTAATTTATTCCGATTTTTTCACAAGCATTTGCTGATGAAACTACAGAAGATAGAATAGCGCACGAAATGTTAACAGAACTTATGGTTTTTGTTTTGTTCCTTAGAAGAAAAATCTAGGTGATATCCTTCGATTTGTTAGCATGCTGCAGTACTATATATTGAATTGGGTCGAAAATGCAACGCACAGAGAGCAGTATGATGCAGCGCAGGCTATTCCGTGCCTATACTGTCCTAATAATTACACAGGTTAGATTGAATGCATGTTCTGGTTTCGCATGCAACAGCATATGCTGGTTGTGAGACGGGGCGAAAAATTATTGCAAGTGACAGCACATACATCAAAAGGGTTCCACAAGTTTAACTTCGCAGGCACAAAGTTACTGACCAACATCAGAAACGAGACCAGACGGTGATCAATTAAAGCCTAGGCCTCAGATGCAAGCTATATTTTTCAGTAGATCAGTCTGACGCCGGCATTAAGAAGCCTCTGCAGTCACTTCCAGATTTGCATTACTGAGCTTCTGTTGGCTAATACGTCCTGCATCTGTTGTTTGTTCTGTTGATGTTTTCATCTCTGACGATGGACTCCTGCATTAAGTCAAAATTAATGATAGATAAAAATAGTGCCGGTAATCAAATAATTTACTTCCTCCTCCTTAGTTTCGCATGGACTTGGAAAGTGCACATCATTTCTGTTCGTCACACTGAAAGATACCCTTCCTTTAACTATTAAGTTCAAAGAAGGCGTAATTTACTACCAATAGAGTACAAAAAAGAATTTTTCGTGTATGTTTTCCATAAAATATATTTGAATTTATAAAGGCAGTCAAAATCAGTAAAAAAAATGCATACTTCTTAAGTAGCCATTTTTGCAGTACATACATTTTGTTAGCGGTCCGACAGAAACTAGCTAAAAAGCAAGCATCCTATTGTAACTAAAATGACTTTGTAATAGGCTACATGCTAATAATTATTCAACATTACTTATTGACGCTTAGCGGATGAATATAGATCCTTCGCAAATGTCGGCACGTTGCACGAATTCTCAGCCGCACTGTATATATACAAATATGTTTTAATTTGAACTTTGGATGTTGTTTTAAATTCTGTGCCTCTTTAGATCGGTACAAACTGAGTTTTGAATTTAGCATTTACATTCAATCTTTGTTTCAATGATAGTAGAATCTAAAAAATTGAGCTTCATCCTCCAAAACTGTGTTTTATTGTCTTCACTAAATCTTGTGCCTGTTTCCTTCCTTTGCTTTTCATGTTTTACAACAACGGGTGACAGTTTCATGTCCCACATTCAATCTTTCTGTCCCAATAAATCTTGCTCCGTTCACTATATGCGCGGTCCTGAGTCTCATTTCATTTTTCCCAAAGTGAATGCGAGATGCTTCGTTTTTAATTCGGATGCGGGGATTCCTTGCTGAGCAGCCCAACATTGTCCTCATTGACTGATTCGGCTGACCTCTATGTCAGCAAGAAATAAAAAATTACTAAAATAACAATGCAATCGTTTTGGTTGCACCTGCGCATGCCGTAGTATTAATTACAACAAAAAGTTGGATTTTAGTGGTCGAGTTATAAACAACACTTCGAAAATGTACATATAGGTATCAGGTACCATTTTTGCTGAAAACTTTGAATACTACCTTCAAAGTAAAGTATACCTCTCTGAACAGCAGATATGAAAACTGTTTAATAAATCGTATTTGCCGACTATTGACTTCATCCGTAAATGCATAAAATGCATGCATTTGTTTTTCCACTTAGCAGTCTCCTTTAAAGATAACAGAAAATACCACTTTCTAAGTCTTCCTAGGAATTATTTTAGCACAAATCGTCATTGAAGTATTTGAAGCTTAGCACGCTAATTAAATATTTGTTCATTGAGAATTAAAGTATTTGAGGCGACGATGAAGATATTCACCAGCTATTCAGTCTTTCGCAGTCAACATGGTGGCGCCAGATAAACTTTCTTTCCTTTCTTACTTGCAGGAAATGATGCGTCAACGTTTTTGGGTTTTGTTCCGCAAAAGCTTAGACAGTTCACATGTTGAGTTCTAAGCTAATAGAGGCAACTGTTTGCATCCGGGGTATGTATATAGACGGAGAAGGCGTGTCGATTGCCGGAATCAATTTGGCCCATTCCCCCTCCCCTATATCGGTTGATTGGCCCCTGCCCCGTATCACTGTTGCTTGTTTTTTCTTTCACGATTTTCTCTTTGACTATGGACTCCAGTATGAGTACAAAAGCTCAGACAAATAAAATTATGATTCCGGCAATCAACACGCCTTCT